AACCTATGTTTTAGGCAGAGAAACCAAAGAAGTAAGATTTTAGATCTGACAGAGGACAAGGCCATAGGGCCAGGTAACTTTCATCCAAACCCTTAAAGGAATGAAAATGTGAAATCAGTCTCCACATCCAAGAACTGGAGGACAGCCAGTGTAATATTAATTTTAAAAGCATTTTGGAGGGAAGCCAGGAAATTACAGGCCTATTCCACATTAATTAATTAAAAACATCATTACAGCTAGATGATGTCTCACCAGCAGAGCTAGTGCAGTTCTGCTGGTCTTTCAGGACCCCGTCTCTGCTCTCTTCTTTGCCCCCTCTGTACACTTCCTGTTCAATTCCCATTCCAAACACTCTCATTCCCAGAAAGCAAAGAATATGACAGCATGAGTGCTTTTCTCAGGGGAAGCAAGAACGTGGAAGCACCTCCCTTAGGAGGTCGGCTCGCAAGAAATCTGAGGGCCTGCTTAAGCCAGACAGTGGGAGTGAAAATAGGGCAACTCTGAAAGGGTCCGGGAAACTCAGGCCACAGGCGCCTCAACTTCACGGCCTGCTCCCGCTAGCTGATGCCACCCGGGCACGGGGTCCAACGACCAGGCCACCAGCTCATTGAGCAGCGGAGGTGAAAATGCTATGGTGTTTTCCACAGGAAACGTGACTGAAAAGAACATAACACCTTTAGACCAGTCTTTGGTGCAGCTATGTTTGGAAAACTGTATACATTGTAAATTGCTCTAGCTCTCTCTCCTGAAAGATACTGCAGAACTGAAAAAGAGTCTGAAGACTGATGTTTTGGAACATTTTTTCAACAAGATCTAAACATGCTTTAGTTTGAAAAAAAGATGAGGTTTTTTAAATATAATTCTTAGCATACATGAGGCTGATGAAACTGGGAAGATTGTGGAGTAGGACACGGATTTCTCTCTTATTGTTAGAAAGTTGGAAATCACCCTATGGGTGGCAAGTTAAAGGGTGGCAGGGAGAAGAATTTGGGCTGCATCTGCATGAACCTTCTGCTCCTCAGGACGGCTTCCTCTGGAGGCACAGTCAGCCCAGGAAGAGGGTGCCTGGAGCTGTGCTCTGGGCAGAGGCGAAGGCTGGCCAGGAACTCATGTGATGGTCAAGGAAAGACAATGACAGAGACAGGCTGATGACCAAGAGCAGCGTCCATTCCCAGGAAAGCAGCCAGGCAGCCCTGGCACCCACTCACTGGGCTTTGCTGATGTTAACGGTTTGGCACTCTTGCTGACCTTGATGCCAATGACCAGCCAGCCACTGTCCCAGGCCAGCTTCTGCTGCAGCAGTTCCCTCTGTGCTCTGCTGTTCACAGAGCACAAGGCACTGACCTTCGCTGTATAAGGAGTGGACATCTTCAAGGAGAAGGTCTGGCTTTGTTAGACCTGGAGAATTCTGAGCAAGGGCAATCCAAGGAGCGTGGGAGGCGTCTTAAACGGTCGGTCACCACAGAAAGTGCAGCATCGGAAGAGCCTGGCTGGGACACCCTCTCAGGAAGCCACTGTGCCCTGCCCTGCCCTGTGATGAGCTACGGCCCAGCTGAGCGCTTTCTGGGGCACCTGGCAAGCTCCACGTCAAGCACACTGACAGTGATCTGTAAAGGGCTCGCAACTCCATCAGCTTGCCACCTCGAGCATCCCATTTGAGGGCATGAAACAAATCTGTCCCACATCTTTTCAGGCTGAATGCTCCATGCAGCGTCCTATCAAAATACAGAGAATGGAGCCAGCAAAGCAGCGAACTCCAACGGGCCAGGGAAGACCTTCTTCGCACAACTAAATCCACGGCCACGAAAAGCCGATAGTCACAGGTGCCAAGTAGCTTTAAAACAAGAAAAGCCAACTGCCTTTGGACAGAATAATGGGATGGAGCCCTACTGCTCAAGTGTACCAGATGTGGGGAAATGTTGGTGAGGAAAGACTTCTTCCCTCACCTCCTCCTTATAAACCAGAAGCTTAAAAGCCCTCAGGGACTGGGGACCGCTGGAAACGGGGCTGTGATTTGCTCCAGAAAGACACGGCTTCTCAGCTCTGGTAGGGTAGCTCCTCTCAGGACACGCATTCAGAGAACTGCAACCCACTGAATTCCCTTTTGGCCTTGGCCCAAGAACACAGAGCCCACCTCCACCCACGTGGGCCCTGCAGCCTTCCGGGAATGCCTCTTCCCAGCCAAGAATGCTTCACTGACCCAAGGCATCCTCACGCTGCCTGGGCTGACCTCTCAGCCCTGAACTGAGGGACACCCTTCTGGGGTGGAAGTTGCCTTGCCCTGGCACAGATCCCTGAGGAAACACCTGCCCCAATTCAGGAGCAGGAACATTCTTCCAATGGCCCCACCTCTTCGAGCAAGGTCAAGCTTGGGGGCTTGATCATTAATCCAAGAGCTGGCCTGTCTGTATTGCCTGCCCATTTCCCTGCCCAGGCAGTCCATGGGGGTCGCGCCCCCAGGTCTGAGATCAGCACCTGGCCTGCTGTAAGAAGGACAAACAGAAAGTTTGCAGCACCCTTGTGGGAGTTGGCCTGCTCACCTTCCTGTCCAAATGTAAGGCTCCTCCTGTGGGGAAGCCACATGGGACAGAAGAATTCTACCCCAAAGGATCCTAGTCGCAACACACAGAGTTTTTTTCTCTTTTTCCCAAGCCCTCTGTGTGATTTAACTGAACACACATTTTGTGTGTTCCACATTTTGTGAGCAATGGACAAAAAGGGTTAATGCTAAATTGCCAAAATCTAAAGGCTACTGCTCGATACATATGCCTTGCAGCTCTTGTGTTGTGTCCGGGGGACTTAAACGCACCATTATTTCGTTGGATCTGTTGCATTCCTTGTCAGAACGCTTGACAGCCGTCTTCTAGCTGAGATCAAGAGCTGCCCCTCTGATCCTCCTTCCAAGCCTATTATGGGAGGGCTGGGAGCAAAATAAAGCTGAGCAAAGGGACCTTTCCCAGGGAACAGAGGACCATTTGCACTTCCAGGAATTTCCCTTTCTTCTAAGCATTCTGTTAAACACCTTTCTAGCCTAGAGAAATAAAAATCAGATCGACTCCACCAAGTGGATGTTGGAACAAAGCCCAACTCTGCCTCCAGGTGAAGGGTGGACTTCCCTGCTCCTGAGGTCTCAAAGTATCTCACAAGCAGCCTGGAGCCTCTTGGAGAAAAAGAGCTGCTCTGAAGGCTATGCCGTAGCCTCCAAACGATGAGCCCAGAAACACTATTAGGAAATTAAAACCAGGGCACGGTGTTCCAATTCCTACCGCTTCCTCCTTGGCTAATTGTTCTCCCTCTTGCCCCCACCCCACCCCCGTCCACGCCTTGGCAGCCCTCTGGAGCAATGCCCTGTTTCCTGATTGCCTCTCACCAATGAGCAATCTTTGTGAGAAAAAGCCCCTGTCCCTCAGCCTGAGCCAACAGCTCCATCCTTCAGTTCCTCAGCTGCTGCACCTGTTGCTCTGGGGTCCCTAAAGGATGCCTGCCACCCAGAATAAAGCACACACTGCACCCCCGCAATGCACCCGGAGGCTTCTTTTGTGGCCCGCCCAGTCAGCAACAGCAGATACAGTTTTGGCAAGCATCAAATCTGCTCAACTGTCAATCACTCCAGCAGTCTCAAGGTTGTACAAGTCACCACTGGGGATGGATTTCAGAGAACACGCATCAGCTAATTTTTGTAATAGCTCAGAACTGATTTTCCCCCATTGTCTCCAAGAAACAGTAAAGTGTCTTTCTCCACCTGCTACTTTGTCTGTGGCTTCCAATATCTCCCACCAGAGCCGATATGTCTTTGCAGCCCTCAGGAAGGCTTGCTGATCCCTCACCTGCGCTACAGAACAAAAGAGGTGTGTGTGTGTGTGTGTGTGTGTGTATGAGTGAGTGAGAGATCAGTGCTGTTTCTTGGAAACACGGGCTTCACAGGTAGGCACCCAAACTTTCTGCATGGAGGCCATCCCTACAGAATTCTCTTTTCTGCATTTTACACAGTCCTCTAGAGAGGAAATGAGGTATACCAAAATGAGTGCTCACTCTGCTCCAAATGGTCAAAAACTCAGGAGAAACGTTTGGCTTTTTTAAGCTCTAAAAATGAAAGGAGGTTCTCCTGTAATCAGTGCAGTCTTGCCACACTCTTAGGACCATTTTGTGGCTGGTTTGAATTTAAGCAATTCAAAATCAACTTGGGAGAAGAGGACAATCTGAAATGCCAACTCCTCTGCAGAACTTGCCTTTGGCAAACCCTCTTTAGAAATGCTGATGTTTGTGGGAGTCCTGGTTTCTGCTGAAAGTAGAGCTTTTGCCAGAGGATACCGCTGGATTAACCATGATTTAACAAATAAACTCCAACTGGTTGCTTTCACATAATAGGTTAAGCCACAGGCCCAGATTTACAAATCACAGCAACTGAGTTCCCCCGTTCAGACAACCAACCACCTGAGGCTTTGCTCCCACTGCCCTCCAGGCCAGGAGGCCGCACCAGGCTCTGAGAGCCAGCAACTGCCAGCAGCCGGGCTACTTCCACAAAGCTTGACCTGCTGCCACCAGGGCAGAAGTCAAGCTCCATCCGGCTGGGTTGGATGCAGCAAAGCCGGGTTCGGCGTAAGGCGCTGCAGGTGAGGGGACCCGATAAACACAGCAGGCGCTCAGCCCCCGCAGCGCTCGCCACTCCTGGCTGCAGGGATGGGCTCTGCTGACCTCTGGAGCATCCTCGCCCCCTCCGCCCCTCCCTCGCGCCTGGCTAGACGAGACCGGGCTGTGTCCGCACAGAACGCAGTTAAGGGGGAGGCACACCGGGGGGGGGGGGGGGG